CTTAATTTAATTAATTTAATCTCCTGATTAGAAACATCACAATATTTTAAATGTTCATTATGCCTGCCTACATCAATACACTACACATAGGGGTTTCAAAACGGTATACGCGTGTATGTGACGAAATTTCAGCCAAATTCAGTATCGATAAATCTTTAGCGCTATAGAAATTTATCAAATACAAGGACATTTCTGAAGTTCATCGATAAGTGGTGGTAATCTAATGAAGTCCTTCACATGTATTCGATAACGATCATCGACAATCAACTTGGCTAGGGGGCAGTACCGTTATCAGTACAATGCAACTGGGTTACACCTCTAAGGTTATGCACACAAGGTTAAAACCGTCATGTAAAATGTAGCGTTCATTGTCTTCCGAAGTTTTTGACCACGGTATTATATATTTTTTTAATCTTGCCCCAGATCTCTAGGATTTTCTCCTGTGTCGTGGATGCGTTTACAAACATACAAGTTCACATACACATGACACCCAGACCCGGAAGAACAATCAGGTCGCTTGGTACGCGGTTCCCTATACGCCTTAACTGCCAATGCGACAAAATAAACATTTTAATGACATCAATTTGCGAACTGATAACATTTCAATAAAGTTTTATTATTTCAGCTAACAATAACAAATTAAACTGAAACTTGATAACAGAATAAATTAATACACAAATAATTATTTAAATATTATTTATTTACCTAGTACTTTAGTTGGATTTTATAGTTACATCATCGGATACCGTATTATTTTATTTCCTACAACATAAAATACAGTTATTTTCATAATAACTACATGGTTATCTCCTGACTGTAATAACTCTCCTCTCATTTAATTTACCTCTTGTTGTTAACGAAACTACGAGTATTATTATCTCGACCTAGGTTTTATTTTTTTATTGGAATTATTTTCTTCAAAAAAGGCATACCTAAAGTACATTACATACCTAACTTCTTTGACGATCAGACTGATGGACTATTATTCTATGTTGACGGTTTAAAAATACCAGTATAAACCTATCCAAGCTAATATTATAAATGCGAAAATAACTCTGTTTGTCTGTCTGTCTTTATAGGCATAGTTTGAAACTCGAGAAAGGACATACGATAGGTAGTCTTTATACAATATTTTTATATCAACAAAAGTAAAAAAGTTTTGGGAGAGATGGCTCTCCCAAAACTTTTTCGGCACGAATGGGTCGGTGAGTTATACCACGGCCTCACAGAAGAAAAGAGTTGTGTTTCGCCGCGTGAGTGAGGTTACCGGAGGCCCAATCCTTCCACTACCCCAATCCGTTCCCTTTCCCAAAATCTCCAAATCCCTAATCCCCAAAAGGTCGACAACGCACTCGTAACTCTTCCGTCGTCCGATGTCCATAGGCGACGCTGATTGCTTACCATCAGGTAATACGTTTGCTCGTTTGCCGATCACATAAAAAAAATTTCATTCGGTAATACATACAAATGTGGGAGAGAAATGCTTCGACGCGAATAAGTCGGCTCGACCGGAGTGATACCACGGCCTCACAGAATAACTGAAACAACAATCGCGTTTCGCCATGTAAGTGAGGTTACCGTACACCGAATTATTCCGACCTTCCCTAATACTTTCTGCCTTCAAAGAGTGCACGCTCCTGCTAACACCCATATAAAGAATGGCAACGCACTGATTCCTCTTTGGTTTTGCCTTTGGGCGCCGTTTGCGTACTATTAGGTAATCTGTATTATAGTTCGCCTGGTTATTATCTATGCTACATAGTATTTAAAACTTTAAAAGTTTTTTTTTTGTTTGAACGTGCTAATCTCCTAAACTGCTGGTCAAAGTTGAACAATTCATTTCAGAGTTGGAAAGTCCATTAATCTATTTCGACAACCAGTCGGCCCCGAACAGAGGGTGACACCGCGCGTAAGTACTTAAGTAGCTGGTTATATTCATATTATCTAAAGACACATAGACAGACACAAATTACGATTGTCACCTCATACAATATTGATATACGTATCGTCTTACGTCCAATTGTCTGTTTGTATAATTCACTGTATGCCACGTCATGACTTAATTTCGTCAAACTAATTGATTGAGTTATATTATCATTGTGTAACGTGACATCTCATGTCTATTGTACTTACTTAAGCTGCTGTATTATGTAATAATGATTACATTAACTTCGTTAGAGAAATGTATGGCAGCTTTTTAAATTTCAAATTTTAGTGCTACATATTATAGCATATTTATTGTCTATGGTAAAATGGCCAGTGGTTAGCGTCGGTACGCATTACTTTTCTTTTGTTTTATCTGTATTGATTTAAAAAAAACATAGTTTCAGTTGGCCATAGCATCAAGCGTGAAGGAATGCGTAAAATATGAAAAGTCATCTCGCCCTCAAGTTGGGCAATAAGGAGTGGAAGACTCTGAAAAACACTACAAAAGCATGATACACTCGATCGATTGTAACATCAGCTAAAAGCAGAGATTGATCGGAATTTTGCCCGGAAATTTATCGTAATTTTATAAATAAAAAACTGCTAGCCACCTTCTATTGCAAAAATATGTTTGTAGAAATCTCTATTACATGTAAAACCCACTGCATAAACATGCATTAATTGGCCATGTTAGTCCTCAATATAGTGTACACAGTATATAAAGGTATATTTTAAAAACGTTTAAACAAATATAAAAACAACATGCACCAAAGCTACTAACAATTTGCGTTACAAATTCTGCAGTAGATACGTTTTATTAACGCTTCATTTAATCGAGTTTGTGAGTTCAAAACAGAATGGGTAGTAGATGTTGTTTCAATAAACCTTTTTTTATTTATTTACGTTTTGTATTTTTGTTTTGGAAAAATAAATGCAAGAATTAATCTGTTAGAATTCTTTTGACTTGTGTGAATTTAGTCTCACAAATCTCAATATTTCTATCGCCTGTTGTATATGTAGATTCGACTTTTGATCTTTTGACAGGCTTGAGCATTAATAACCACGCTTACTCAATGCAAGGCAGATTGGCGGTTTCAAACTTCTAAATAGAAATGAGAAGCCCAGATTTTCTCCCTATATTTTTCTTCGCCGTAGTCAGTGGTGTCTTAATGATCATACAAAGTAAATGTGCATAACTCGTAAAAAGTCACATTAGTACTTATTAGGTTTCGAACCCAAACAAGGGTGCTCATACAAGAGGAGCCTTGACCTCTGGGTCACCACGACGTAAGTACAATAACTTTCAATCTACCACTCAGTAATATGTGAATAAAAAATACACACTCATGCATACATAGGTAACAATCAGCCAGACGCAAAAGCTCACTATCGTAGTGACTACACTTTTCCGTACCTAGATTTAGGAATGACTATAGATATCTGGCCGCGGTCCCGCCCTTCGCAATTAACGCTGGCAAATAATTAATTTGCTGGCGCGACGCCGTGAAATGAGTTCCGACCTGCCTAGGCTTAGATTATAGCGAATACCTGTAGCCTGTAGTGTACCTAGATATATGTCTGTACCTAATTACTAACTTTAGGAATAGAAGCTAATTACTGTAAGGGATACTTTTCGTTGAATCACTGTGCTACAATGAGATTAACAGCATTTTTGGTATTGTGTATTTCGCACTTCGAACTAATCGCTTCGAAAATACTTCTTAAAATTTCCGAATAGAATCTCAGCAATATTAAACCTGCCTATCTCCAAAAGCTATAACCATTACGATAAGATTGAAAGCTATCGTTAAAAGAAGTTATTGTCGATTACTTACGAACTGTTGGTTTGTGCGTTTGCCACAGAATTTCTATTTTACCTTCACTTCTATATTCAAAAAAAGGAATAGGCCATTGCTTCACACATTAAGACCTATTCTATACTAGATATAAGCTTCATGTCAATTAGCCTTTATGAGTTACGTAGACTTACTGCTGCTGCTGTACTCATATAATTCATATCTTGAGAATGACTTCAGAGCAATTGTTTTCAAACCTAAATTGTTAGTAACGGTGGAAGTATTAGGAAAGGAATACACGGAATAGTTTTTAAGTAATAGATTAATGTCTCTTAGTGCGGCAGTTCGAGTATTGACACAACCTACCCTCTTATTCTAAATTTGAAATTTTGTATAATACTTTTGAACAGAAGAATATTTCAGGAATTCATTCTTATATCAATTTGTCTATGGTTCTTTTAACAAGCACTCGTCAAACCAAAACGTCACATAAAACAATATAAAAAAATAAGCCCAGTTTTAATAGATCTCCTGGCCACCTAGAAATTACAATCATATATTTTCAGGAAATTCCAAAGGAAGACCTAAATACCGCTATAATATAAGTAGGTGGGTACAAAAGTGGAGGTAGAAAAAGTGGTGTAATCATTCTTACTTTCTGGAACGAGATACCTGGCCGCGAGAGACGAGGTCATTAATCTGGTGGCAAGGTTGCCCTTATGACGTCATACCTTTTTTTGTTATGCTTCCCCAAGCAATTCTTGTAATTATAGACTAAATTGTACCTATGTTTTGTTTGCACATACATATTTCTATTGTAATTGAGTGATGAGAGATTAAGTTAATTTAATTTTATTATTTGTAAGAATAGGTTGCAAGCCGTAGTTATCTATATATGTATATGGATGTTTTCATTCTTAATTCTCTTTAGTTTTAGGTCGTCAACATCGTGAAATTTTCTAGATGATGATAAATAATCTCTTCAGAAATTTTGAAACTGACAAAGTCGTCGATCAAATTTTGTTAAACAATAAGTCCTAAATATTTATGATTATAAAATCTATACCTACTTGTACATATCTAGACCTCGATTTGACAATTTAAATAAAAAAATACACAAATTTTAACAAATTCCAAATTTTTATTATTCAAATATGAGTAAGCACATTGGGATTTTGATTCATAATTTAAAAACAGAACAATAGTAATGAATACTGGCAATAAAGGTTATTAAAAAATCCGATTTAATTTTAAAAAAGGAACGCTATAAGAAACTTTTTAATTGGAACATTGGCAAGTGGTGGTGGAAATGCAGACACCTTTCTTGAACCCAAGCAGATTGCAAATGTTAGCACAGGCAGCGTTCGTGCAAGCTCTCATTATGAGTGGTATGTATAATGATGAAGGAGGAACGAACTGGCGATCTGTAACAGAACAATTTTTTTATAAGCATATCTCTTTACTACTGAACTACTTTTATTTGAAGTTAAATATATGTAGGTGAGTATAAGTAATTTATGATCTAACAATTTTTTTTTTTAATGTAGCCATTGGTACTTTTACTAACGGTAATCTATACTAATATTATAAAGAGGTAAAAGTAAGTTTGTATTATTGTAAGTTTGTATGTAGGATGTAGCCTTTGGAACCGGTGGTCGGATTCCTAATATTCTTCACTGATAGACAGCTACAATGTTCCCGAGTACAATAGGCCATAAAACATCACGCTACGATCAAATGGAGCCAAGCAGCGGGTGAAACCGCGAGAGAGTAGCTAGGTAAAGAATAAAAGTTGGCAGTGTGCGCGTCTCCACTAGATAAGCGAATTACTTATTTACCATGTCTTAGGCTACTTAGTATTTTTTTTTCACATAATGACACATTTAAACATATTTAATAATAATAATTAGTAGTAGTATATTAGTATTATCTCACCAATAGGCTGATCATCCACTGCGTAAACGCTTTCTTGAGGTGAACCAACATTTAGTTGCTCTGCTGGATCAAAAACGCGAACGGCTGGAGACTCTTCAGCGTAGACGATTTGAGGTTGGACATCTCCCACCTCCTCGACATTACCAACCTCGACAGCATACACTCCGTCCTCTTCGCCCTGTCCAAGAACCACCACAAGGGCAGATAGGAAAACCACGAAAAATTTCATATTGAAAGAACTTTGTATTGCAAAATGGAAGGTACAAATTCGCTATCACTCCAATCGACGTGATGAATAATCGATTAATGAAGTATTTATACTAAATGGTTGCGATATACATTATATACACAGTGATAGCAGCTGTGGTTTGCACTTCAGATTATAAGTAACCCTTATAGTTTTAAGTGGTTGCTTGATAAGACCGTTTAGAGAAATGTAAACTCTATCCTCTGAATTTAAAGGTTTAAATGTTACTGCCGATTTTGCTTGTTTATTAAACTTTGTAAGTTCGTTTGTCACATGAATCAGTCACCTTATTTAGCTGATATGTCTAAAGTACTTATAAATCTTTAATTTTTTTTAAGGTTTTAATGGTGTAACAATTTTTTTAAGTTGCGGCAAAAAGTTAAGTACGTGCTTATGAGAATGACGTTTCTATAAACAGCAGCATAAAAAAAGTATTTTATACCTGTTTTATTCCTCTTAATCACATCTGTGTGCCCATAACTATAATTATTTGAAATTTGTTGTTTTAATAAAAAGAAAGTATTAACTTAGCAAAAACGTAGTTTATGTTTTGAGATAATTTTAACATAGACAACAGAGTGACAGATTGTCATAGACACATATGAATCCAATCGGTAAAGTAGGGTTCAATATTTTCATATTTCAACACAATTGTGGTTTAAAAATGAAAACAAATATATTTAAGGTAACTTAAAATCTTGTCCAAAAACATCTTCTTTGAATTAGAATAGAACTCAATCAATACGTCACTAACGATAATTTGACGACTAAAAAAGTTCAAAACTTTTATCTTAATGTGATTAACTGATACTTTTCGTACCTAGTCATCATATTCTTGCGTCAAATAGCATACGCTCGCCTCAAAGAGCCAAGAGACCACCAGAGACGAGGCCCTATAGGGCTGATGTTCAGGATGATTCTAACACTCTCTTGCGCTCCCAACTATATACGATGCGGACTTCAAAATAAGTTAACTTTTCAACCACGTATTTACAGAATAAGGCCGCAAAAATTTTAATAACATTGAAATAGGTCCACCGATTTTCCCCAAAAGCGTAATGGTAATGTGGTCAACTTTGAGTTTTGTTATTTTCCCTCATACAAGTGTACTTGGTTGGTATCGGACCTACGCAGTAAAGTTAAATTTCCTTAAACAAACAATTTAGAACAAATTTTAATGTTCTACTTAATTCGTTGTTTTTATGAATACATTTCTACCTATATTACGTTTTGTTTTACATATATTATAACTGCATTTCTTTACAAAAAGTTTACAGTCTTAAATGTGGGAGAACCATGCTTCGGCACCTATGGAACGCAGGGGCTACCAGAGGCCCAATTCTTCCCCTCCCCCAATCCCTTAAACTCCAAAAGGTCAGCAACGCACTTGTAACTCCTCTGTTGTTGCCGCCGTCCATAAACACCCGTTTATGGACAGCACTGATTGCTTACCTATCGCGTCTACCTTTCTGCCGACCTATTACATAATAAAATAAGTGAACTGAATGTCATTTTTTAACCATCAAAGTCTTAACATCAATTGAATACCAGGCATAACTCTGAAATTGACCATAAAGGTCAAAAAATTTTTCAATCGACCTCCAACACAGTTCTGGAACTATGCCTTTGATGGCCCCGATCGGTAGACAAAGTCTTAAAGAAACCTATCCATTTCAATCCATTGAATACTCGCATTTCTAGTTTTGGTAATCGTCGAGTAATCCCATCTTCCCGCGATTGAAGGACAGGTTATCAATTATCCCTAAAACGATACAAATACTGGAAACCCTTCCCTGGATATTTGTCCTCCATTAAACACATTAATTAGTGTGCGAGCGGACAACGATTGATGAAGTGAAGATTCATTTAAAACGATTTGATTTCAACCCTTAGCCACTGGTTTGGAGAAGCGCAATTAATTATTTTTGTCAATAATCAATACTTTTCATTTGTTTAAAGTGTTGCCTTCTTAATTTATACTCAATATATCTCTGTCATCTTTAATGTCATTTAGATTTTAGATTTTGTATTTGTTACTTTTTCTAGTTAGTTGATTGCACTGTTAGCGCACTGGTTGGGCAACTGGCTGAAATGCAGCGTGTCGCGTTCGATTCCCGCACGGAACAACTCTTGTTTGATGTGATGGCACTCCCTTTCACCCATGCAGAGTGAGACACCACTAGAGATTTGATTAAGTTGGCCTCTCAAAAAAAAGTTGTATCTAAATTAACTTAGAAAGTACCTACACATGTATAACTGAGAAAAAATTACATTGGTACGTACCAGGTTTAGATACTCGCACCCTTATATATCAGAAACGGGTGCCTTAGGCTGCAGTTCCATTGAGGCGGAGCGGAGAAGAGCTGTGCCGCGATTCACCAATCACATGGCTTGAAATCCACATTCGAGATAGATCCACATTAGAGATACCGCTCCGCCACAATGGAATTGCACCCTTAGCCTTTAGGCCACTACTACATAAAGAGTAACTACTTACATGGTGACAAATCTATACTTCAGATTTGTTCAAGTACTTAAATTGAAACTAAATAGGTAATATACCTACTTATGATATATTGTATTCCGTGTATTGCAGGATAACCATTTTCCTGTTTTACAGTTTTCAAATACTGATATATCTACCTACCATAAATAAATAGGTTCTGGTATATGTACCTAACTAGATAAATAGCATAATATGTATATATATGTATGTAGGTACAACAATTAATTAAGTACTGTTATTTAGTCATTGTGGTTTTAAGGATTTCGGTACGAGTCTGTATTTGTTATCATAGTTTTGTACATCGACAAGTTTTTTTTACATACGATCTGATACGTTACTGTTGATATGCTGACAAAGAGACTGCCTGCAGGCAAATATGCTCTACAGTTTTATATTATTAGAATAGATTTGAAAAGGCCCAATCCTTCCCCCATCCTTAATCCTCTGATCCTCTATCCTTAAATCCCTAATTGCTTACCATCAGGTCATCCGTCTGCTCCTTTGCCCACCTATTCGATTATAGAAAGGAGCAATCACTCTTCAGCTTTATAAATACATATATGTTTACGCCGCTCTGGAGCGTCCACAACACCAAAAGAGTTCGTCGGGGATCGAGAGATGATCTCCGGCTACCGTAAGCGCAAGTCTGCGGTCGGCGAGTAAGGGCAGCGCGCCGCCCGACCAGAACCAGGCCCGAACGTACGGCGCGTAGCGTTCCGCGCGCGCCTCAAATAGCCAATAGACCACCACAGACGGGGCCCTAAAGGGCTGATGTTCAGCCGGGGTTGCGGGGTAAGCGCAATGAGGCACCAGTCTGACCCTCCCTCCCGCCCGGCCCTGGGCGGGAGAAGCCATTTGATGATTTTCCACTCACAAAAACAAAACTACGAAAGAGTTATACGAACATTTCCGGCATTTTAAGGATTAAAGAGATTTGAGGATTAGGGATTTGGGGCTTTTTGAGCATGACTGACTATATTATCCTTTTAATCGTTGTATTGGAGGCACAATATGTGATTTGCTGAAATATAAGCCATAAAGTTTCTAGTTACAAACTTTTAAAATTGTTAATCTGTAGGATAATTTTTTTGGTCTTAGGTATATATTTATAAACTAAATAAAGCAGGTACTTATATGACAAGTTATCGTTCATTTTTTGTTTAGTGCATAAGGTCAGTGGGTTGTTGGTATGCGTGGTAAATGTACTACTGCTTACATTTTAAAATACACAGATAATGATACTTATGTACTTGTAAGGTATAAACTTTAAATTACATTATCACAGTGTAGGTATACCTACCTTATGTGACTTTTGGACCAAAATTGTTTGTAGTATATTTACTTACTTACTATTTAGACGCAGGAGAGTCATAAACCAGAAACTGCAGAAGATGAGGCGTATCAGTGCTTAGCTAGTAACAGACTGACACTCTTGACTCACCTATATTAAAGAACTAGCGTTCCTAAAATTTTCCGTCGCCACATTCCGTTCTCTATCAATCTGTCAATTGGAAATATTATGGCATCCCACCTAGACTTAAACTTAGCACATGTTTCATTATAGCTACAGCTAACAACAAACAAATAAATCTCAATTCCAAAATTCTTAGAAGACTTTATCTAAAGAACATAGCGCTAACTCCATTCAAAACCTCACAATAGATTATCAAGTTCAATAACACGAAATGTACAAACAAAATGAATTTGAGCAACTGCAATATTCGTGAGCTGTGAACTTGTAAGACGTGAGAGCGCGACTGTCAACCCCCTCTTGTAATTAAGGGTGATATTAATACAGAACTACGGAGCGCATGCCGCGGCGAAGGCATTCCGATATTGCGAAGGCGTATTGGTGATCGCTCAAGTGATACGGAATATTCGACATAGCTTCGACATCATTATATTCGCTATTCGCTTTCTTTGTTCATTATTGTGTGTCACGAATAAAAGGCCACTGTTTATCTATGTTTGAGCTTATCTTGAGAAATGTTTCTTAGTAAACAACTTTAGTAGTTCTACTAAATGAGGTGTTGTTTTTAAACAAACAGCTTCCGTTACTTGCTATTCGGAGTTAGATAAGTATTTACTGAATTGTAAGTTTGGGAGATTCATGCTTCAATGCAAATGGGCGGCTCGACCAGAGTGATACCACAACTTATCATAAAACCGGCGTGAAACAACACTTACGTTGTGCCTCGCCTTGTGAATGAGGTTACCAGAGGCCCGATCCTTCCCAATCCCCATCCTCAAAACCTAAATACCCTAAACCTAAATCCCTGATAAACACGCAACTAAAGCATTGCTGGCATTTTGTTGGTTGTTACGGATTTGAGGATGGGAGATTTGGGGATTTGGGGTGGGGAAGAAGGATTGGACAACTAATAACTTCAATCACGAAGCAAGCGCTGTTTCACGCCGGTATTTAAGGTCGTGAACTGAAACCATAACACCAACAACCACCGTATAAAATTTGCTAGTAATATAAAAATATGTGCAATATACATCACTCGTAAATAATATAACGAGTGAGTTATGAACAAGTACAAAATCCAAAGTTATGATATCCGAAAATTGAGATCTAGATTTACGAGTATGTTTGCAGTTGTTATTAGAGTCGGTTGCAACAATATTCGTGGTAAAATTAAAGCTTGGAAAGATAAATCAGGGTTTTCGGGCTTAAAATATTATAATTAGAAGTCACGTATGGTGCCGCAATTTCTCGGTTCTGCTTATTATTTGTGTTTTTTTTTTTTTGTATGGGTGAGAGAAGACGTTTAATGATTTTCTACCCTCAAAACAAAACAAAACGAATCATGCGTGTAAGATAAATTGAATTGAGGTGTTGATTGTCTGCGTTGTGTTTCGCCGTATAGGTGAGGTTTTTGGCCTAATTACTCCTCCCTCCCATGTTCAATGTCAGAATCCCACAAGCATCAGATGTCTTCTTGCACGTGTCCTAAAGAGTCGCCGATTGCTTATTTACCATAAAAAATACTTCAATCCTCAAGCTTCTAGTCCTCAAATGGCCGGCAACGCATTCGTAATTCCTCTAATTTTTTTTGTGAGGGAACCATTATCAAGTGACTTATCCCGCCCAGGGCCGGGGGCGAGGGAGTGTCAGACTCTTACTGACTAAAAACGTCCCCGTTCCTTCTCCTGTTTTGGGCCGAGGTCGCGGTGCCTCATTGCGCTTGCCCTGCAAACCCGGCTGAACATCAGCTTATAGGGCCCCGTCTGTGGTGGTCTATTGGCTCTTTGAGGCGCGCGAGGAACGCTGCACGCCGTACGCTTGGGTAACTCCTCTAGTCTTGCGGGTGTGATTCCTTACGGTGCTATACATGCGGGGTCGTGGGTTTAGTCGGGGTTACGGGTCAAGCGCAATAAAGTACCGCGGTCTCGGCATGAATAAGGATAAGGAACGGGGTGTTTTCAGTCAGTAAGAGTCTGGCACTCCCTCTCGCCATATCCTGGACGAGAAAAATCATTTGATGATTTTCCCTTCACAAAAAAAACATAAACGTTTTTATTCTGTACAAGAATATTTTCCGAAAATTGAATTGCTTTTTCATGACAAGGGCAAATAAAACCTGTTTAGACGTCGCGTCGCCTCCGTCCGACAGTCATTTGCTATGCGAAGAGTGTTCACCCAACGCTAATTGTGTATTGAAATAGTTAGCAAGCATTGTTACCATTCCAATTACACGGTTTTGTTTTCAAAAACTTTCTGATTGGCTCTTATACTCGTATTCAAAATAGATGGTGCTGAGAACTTTTTGTATTTGTTGATTTTGTGAGTTAGAGGAATGAAAACTTTGTAGTCCCATTTTTAAGTCCTGATTACTCAAAACTCATTCATCGACGATTGTAATATTAAATGCGAGCAATAAGCACACAAAGGAGGATTTGAGGTGAGAACATTGTTGATTTGGCATGTTACTAATGCACTAATTTATAGGATTGGTTGAGTAATCCTAAGTCCTAGACGGACTTTGGATTCAAACAACAAGGATCATCCAAACAAAGATTTCCAATATATTAAGTTACATTTTTCTTCCAATACCTATAGATAGTGCCTTATAAAGTTATACCTATATTTATTGAAAATAACGACTTACTCGCGTGAGTTAACTAAGGAAAGCTCTACTAGTTTCAAATCACAACGGGACTTTTATTCATAAGCAGCGTGCGCGTTGCGGCGACGGCTGATTACTCGATCGAGCTTGCAAAACCATCGCGCTCGTTGCCAAAAAAGGCTACTATTCAGAAAAGATATACCTGCGACCAATGATATTTTATAATTAAAAAGTATTATAAGTAAAAAGGTGAAGATAGGTCATAAGGGCTCAGCAAGTGATATATTAAAATGTGGCTAACTAACCACATTTTTCCTTTATTTCTCTCTCTTTTTTTCACTCGCGATTATTTAATCATACCATCACACTTTGACGTCTAATCATAAGAATTGTTAAAGTGTGCATCGTTTTTTAAAATCGAGTGTTGTTTATGTAACCTATCTACACCATTTTACTTATAATATCATTGCCTGCGACCAATAATTTCTGTACAAGTGGATGTCACGATGTACCTACGTACCTCCTTATCGTAGAAATAAAACCAACAAAAATATTAAAACACTAAAATAAAAAACCTCAGGATCTCTAGAAGCGTTGCACATAACCGAATAAATATTTCTCACATGAAACTGACAGATAAACGGGTATCGAGGGCCAATACTACCCTAATAAATAAAATGCGAGAAAAATCGCTGGAAAGACGAGATCCCTTCCCTAGGGGGTGCATTGGTAGGGGCATTTACATACATAATGATGACCCCTTGTGGCTGACTGTGACCCCACTAGGCGAACGTTTACGACCAAGCAGTGTCACTTTTTGAAAATTTTACGACCCAACCATAGGTGGAACTGCTGACAATGAACCTTGTAAAATGTTTCGTCGATAAAATAATATTTTAATAGTTTTAGTTGCAAATATGCGTTAATATAATCTGTATAGTGATGTAGCACTAAATTGTATTATGAAAAATGTATAAAAACTATCAAAAACTAACTTTAAATAAATTTAAAGTTAAAATTTGCTAAAACCTATCAAGATAAAACATATAACAAAACAAAATTTATCTTTAGTCTAGGTTTAAACCATTGAGTAAGGTTTTGTATTTTGAATCTTAATGTCAACTACCTACATTCGCGAATACAAAAACTGGATTATTGTTTTAGACCTACCTTAAGAAAAACTGAGAAAAACCTTGCTTTGGCCGACTTTGTTTAGGGTGGGTACAGAATGTAAACTAAAATTTATAATAACGATTAAAATTGACAAATCTTTTTTACCACACCTCATTGTAATGAGTTCTTGAATCCAATATATTTTCAAATATAACGGAATGGAATAACAATAGGTTTTACAATAAGAATATTATCATGCAAGGATTTCGAAAACGTTAAGTACCTACGTTTAGACTGACAATAAGCATGGCCAATGGCCATGTGATAAAAACAACTTTGAATATAAAAAACTTCATATTCTTGAATTCCTTAGAACCATTTTCTTAGTTCACATAGGTATATTCCCTAATAGTGATTTCAGAAAGGAAGTGCCAACACAGCCATCGGAAATTACATTTTTAATCTTCTCTCGCACGCTTAACCCCGATTGAAGTTTGAGGTACCTATAATTCACTACCATGATACATCGAAAATAGTGAAGAAAGTGGTTAAAAAAAAATAACCCTCACTTAGTGGTACTTCTGTATTTGGTACTGGTAATTCTGTATTTTTTTCACCACATAGTCCGAAAAAGATACTAAATAATTGCATTGTGATATTTTGTTTCCATAATTTTGAACACCAGCCTTCTATAATCTTTCATATACGAAATTTAAAACCCGTGTTCCTCGGCCCCGTAGCGTCAAAAACAAGGTGGTGTTTTCCACTAGGTAATGGTCGAACACACATTCCAGCCTTAGGACCCCGGGCGGACGGAGAAATTTGACAAAAGGACTTCTCAAAAAAAAGCAATTCCTTTCTTAACTAATCATAATCGCATTTCGTTTTCACTCACGATGCTTGTCTTGTATGACGCGATCCAGGAATTTGGTTGTATCTGAAAAATTGTAATATGTTATAAATATAGTATGTAAGGATCATAATAAGAATACCACAGAGTGATACCACTGCCTCACAAAAAACCGGTGTGAATCAACCACAGCGTTGTGTTTCGCCGTGTGAGTAAGGTTAGGTTGAGGCCAAATCCTTCTTTCCCTCGCCCAATCCCTTAATTTCCGAAGCCCTAATCCCCAAAAAGTAATAGGCAAAACCTAAAGGCGTCTCGCAAAAAATAGCCGTCAATGAAATCTCAACTCCTCTGATATTGCCACCCATGGACAACCTCCTTGGGTAGCGCTGATTGCTTACCATCAATACCTACCAGTACCAGACGTTTTAGTGTGTAGGTAAGTCTGCCGTCTTATCGCTAAAAAATTAGGTCACCTTGAACGAGCTGACTACACCTGGGAAATAATACTAGCGAGGAGAGCAATCCAAAAAATGCCATACATTACATACAAACTACGAAAATACCAATACATGACCTATAAGCCTCGATCTTATGCAACTACCCAAAAGAAAACCTACTACGAACGAACAATAGTGGCTTTTTGTGGGCTACTGGCGCTCTCTACCGGCGCGCGGTTGAACTAATGGCTCATTCATACATAAATAAGGGTTCGGACAATAGGTAGTTTTAACTTTTTTGTGGTAGTTGAATGTTCAGGAAAATAAACTAGATTATTTATATATGTATACGGGATTTGGTTTTTGATTGTGGATTTTTTTAAATCTTAATAATCAGTAAGTAGTTTGAAAATGCTAGAGCATCATTGGGAATTTAAAAACTTATACTTAATATTTATTTGTTTCAGCCACCGCTGAAGAAAGAAGTCAAGTTTTGTATATAATATTTGTTTGTGAATTGCTTAGATACCAGGTTTGTATGTAAAATTGTGCTAATATTTGACATATCTTAATGTACTTTTATTAAGTACCTAGGTACATACTATTTATATACCATGGGAACAAACATTCTTAAGGCTTCATACAAAAAAATAACGATTTCATTTTTCTTATGAATCGATATTTAATTTGTACAACAAGAAAAATTGACATAAGTAAACTAATGTCTAAAGACAGTATAGGTAGGTAGCGAATATTCACAAAACAAAAATGAAACAAGCAATAATAGAAAAAAAATGGTTTAATCAATAGGCAACGAACATAGTGCGATGTTGAGAAAAAAAAGGGATATAATAAAAAATGTATTATCTGCGTTCTTTAACTGTAACAACGACAGCTATCGGCTGAAACACAGGTCCCGTACTTGTAGCCGAGGAATTTACAGACGAAATTACAAGCGCTGGTCGTGCACGCACGCAAACTCATTGGTATGTACAGAGCCTCAGTCGCCATCTTTACTGAATCTCCATCTGAAAAAAAATTGTTATAAGTATAGATTTCTAGGGATTTTTGCGTTCCAGATGGCACTATGTGGCCCACTAACATTTTTGTTTTATAAATATAGTGATAAAAAAAAATCTCCAATGACTGCACATTAGCAAATAAGTAGATATTTATTTGGTAAGTGAATTCTCGCTACACTAGCGCTCCTAGCGGTATACATACACAATCGGAGTAGCACTAATTGGCTGAATAGTCGATAAACGTAGGAACTTAAAAAAAAAAACAAATAATTATATTAACTAGAGATTGAGAATAAGAATGCCTGGTAGCATGTTGGTTGGTTAGTTGATTGTGACATCACACATTTCTTTGTGTATTATTTAATCATATTTTTATTGAAGCATTCTTTTGGATTGTCAGTAGGTAGGTATGCATATGTGAGCGCCATGTACGAGATGATAAAGGATTTAAAGTTTAATGATAATGAATTGACAACGTCGTTCAATAATGTCTAAAAAAGGAAGTACTTCCGCTTTTTTCAAAGGAATAAAATATGGTACACTTAAATCTATTACAGGTATCTACTGTCTGTTTTACTGGCCGAGTAGTTGGTAAGATTCCTAGGTCGAGTAAACTGCTATATACAGCGGGATTACCGATTTCCATTTTCAAAAATTCGTCAATATGTACAATCTACAACTATACTTAGTCGGGTCATAAGTTCTGTCACAAACTTTTGATGTAATAACTTATACGCCTTTTGACAATTATTTAAAAATTATATATGAAATGAAAGGTCATTAAATGTACAATATAATTTTATTTACATTATTCGAAATGCCCTCCCCCATTTTGAACACATGCCCTTAATCTACGCGGCCAGTCATCGATCGCTGCACGCACCACATTCATATCTATGTCTGCCGCTGCTTTAACCAGAGATGCTCGGAGAGACTCCAAATTCGGGTGAGGTTTAGCACAGACTTTTTCCTCCAAATATTGCCATATCTTGTAGTCCAGTGGGTTTAAATCTGGACTAGAAGAGGGCCAGTCTTCATGCCGGATGAAGTCAATTCCACGAGCGATCAACCAGTCTTGCGTACTTCGTGCCTTATGAGCCGGTGCAGAGTCCTGTTGGAATATCCAATGCCTGTTCCTGAACATTGTCTGAGAAAGAGGTTCCACTATGTTTGTTAGGACAGTATTTTGATAAACTTCGGCACTAGTTCTCACACCTTTTTCACAGAAAAACACCTCAGTTACGCCTGAATATGAGACTCCAAGCCAAACCATGAATGAGGAAGGGTAATGCCCACGCTGGACCCTCGCAATACGCGCGCTTGCTTCTTCACTGCTGTGGGCATACACCTTATCATTTTGTTTGTTAAAACTTTCTTCAATAGTAAAAATTTTTTCATCCGAAAAAAGAATTTCGCGGTATTTTTTTCCCGCGTACCGTCGTAGCAAAGCGCGGGATCTGTCTAGCCTAATTTTTTTTAAACGCTCGTTCAAAAAATGTCCTGTCTTTTTACGATAAGCTCGTAGTCCCAGGTCTTCATTTAGTACTCTTTTAACAGTGGTTCTGCTTAGCCCCATCTGCAGAGCTAGGATTTTTTGTTTACGTACGGGATTTCGTTCGATTCGCGCCTTCACTGCTTTGATGACCTTATGTGTCCGAACTGTGCGAGGTCGGCCGCTTCTCTTACGATCTTCGAAGCTTGACTCTTCGGTGTATCGTTTGATAGTACGATAAACAAACCGTAACGTTATTTTCAAATTTTGAAGAATATTGAAAATGTCTTTTGGCGCGTAACCACAGCGGTGCAACGCGATAACCGCGATTCTGTCTTCTTTATTCGACCACTCCATATTTAAAAATGAATAAAAAATAATTTCTTTTTTATTTTCTACAAGCGCGAAAGTTCTATTTTTAAAATAAGTCGAAGAATTTCTGGCCAGTAATCGAAAATTAAAAATATAAGGTTTTGACAGAACTTATGACCCGACTAAGTATTCAGTGTCTAACAAAAGATTTGAATAAAGAATCAAAATAGGTAACTGGCGACAACAGGACACATAATTTTTCATATCTGTTTCTACTCTGTATTATAATACTGTATGTATGTTTCCTTAAGAAAATTAAATAAAATTAAATAAATAAAATGGTGACCCCTGTACCAATCCTTTTTGAGAAGAAGGTTACTCTTTTCAACGATATACATAGGTACAATACATACGTTTTACAAAAAAAATAACTATGGATGTTTGAATGTATCTTTGTTACTCTTTCACATCTAACTACACAACGGATCTGAACGAAATTCGTCACAAGTATAGATTACAGTCTGGAGTAACATAAAGGCTACTTTTAGCCTTGCAATGTGGGCGAAGCCTATGTCAGAAGCTAGTACTAATATAAAGTCGTAGTCATAAATAATGAATAAACATTTTTTTCGTAAACACTACAGTTATAAGTTCAGCCTAAAGCCTATTTAGCTTAAAGCCGGCAATGCGCTTGCAAGGTATTGCGAGTATCATACATTAAGTCAATAAAAACTAATAGGTACCTTTGAATGCAAAAAAAGAGAACCATAAAAAAATAAAATTTGATTTTTATAGTTTGATGTGTTTGGATTTATATTCCTACGTAGCAATCAGATAAGAAGGAACAACAATAAGGAAAGTAGAATCTGAGTTACAGTATACCGTTACCAAACATACCAGTAGGCCCGGTTATCTTTTCTGTACATTAATTGTAATAAAATATATTTACATCAACTTCGGAAGTAAGTAGGTAATCCTAATGAGAAGACTAAACTTCAAAAACACGAGATTGCAAAATATTTGTAGACCATTAAGAACATAAAATAAGGTTCAATACGGAAACTAGATTTTATAAGGCTATCAACCTAAACAACATAGCATACAATAGGTTTTAGCTCTGTCTGTCAAGCAGACTTTGATTGGACGAAGCACTGATTGAACTTCCTATGCCAATAGTCATGAGTCGTCCCAAGAGAATCATCAAACCAATGAAAATACTTAAATGTGAAAATATTCATTTTGAATCACTCTACCTATTTATTAAACAACCACATCAAAATCATACATACATAGGGACAAAATCAAGTAAAGCAAACTTTGTTTTATATTATGTAGAGATAAATATGTTACTTTGGTACTAACTACTTAATTATATTATATTACAAGTAACTTACCTATTTTGTTGTGAGAGATATCATAAGCCCTCAGCAAGTCGTCAATGGAAAACACTTCGGCATATGAAGCCAAAATCATCGCAAAAACGACAAACAATACGAGCTTCATTTTGATAATAGATACAATTTTGGATGACGACTATACTTCTCGGGGACTGACCTCAAACTGATCTCAAAACAAAACTGATGAGAAAAAGTCAACAACGCTTAGACTGTTTGTATTTTAAATAATTAAACAAAAATGCAACTTATGACCCGACTGTAAAGTTGAAATTGATAACAGCATTTTATTCTATGCTATGTGGTTACAACTGACATGACTGGAGTGGTTTAAGCTAGGGATACACAGAGGACAAAAACAAAAAATCCCGTACTTCATGATGCTGTCGACGTCGAATGGGCGTAGCGACTTATCGCGCTACAATTTATTTTCAGCTACATAACTTAAGTACCGACATGTCGCACGATTTTTTATAAGTTCTGAAGTGGGCGAGTTTCTCTTCGACAGGAATGGGTCGGCTAGACTGATGTTAGGTATACGATAGCCTCACAGAAACAAACAACCGGCGTGAAATAACGGACAAGTAGTATTTCGCCGTGTGAGCGCAGATACCGAAATCCCAAGCCCAGCAATGTCACTAAACTTTGGCATCAGAAGACAGAATTATTTTTATCTTCAGTGTAGTGTGTCCCTTGGTTTAAGCACCTACTAATAACTCAATCTATTTTCCCTGTGTTTATTTATATGCACACACAATAGGAAATAACAGGTTTAGGTTCCTATATCCACTTATAGTTAATACTTATAGATTGATAAAAAGTGTTACGGACGAACAAAAATGGACTATTGGGATCACTTCCTTAGTGAAACAGAGAAATCTGGTAAGTTCGCTTAATTTTTACAATGCAGAGTCTGGATTCCCTAGAATATATGTATAGTATCCCAACTTTCTCAATGTGTTTATCGCATTGTTATCGCAATCAAAACCTATCTTAGGTCAGACATTTTAAAGTGAATAGTGGTGCAGTCGTTTCGGAGTTATTAGCATACAAACATTTCGAAAAAGAATGCAGAGATAAGTCAACGTGTAAAAGTACCTACTAGGCAACTTATACGTCCGAACGTATTGAAGGGTCACGGTCAGGTCATTGTCTCCCGATTATGATGTAATCTTTATTCTATGAAGTTACACTATACTCACTCATCGTCCACATCTTTGCGCTGGGGATAAACCCATCTAATTCTCTGTCTCTGTCTATCTTGAATTGAAGTAACGTTAGATACCTGCAAATTTTTTTTCACTAAGTTATTAATTATAATTATGTGAATAATTAAATCTTACTTTTTGCAAGTCGTTTGCTAATTTCTGGAACTTCTCTTTTAGAGACATGTTTTATCACTATCCCTAAACCTTTAATAAGACTAACAGGGTTACAGGGGAGCAGGGACAGTCTGATGTCTCTGTCTGACTCAGAGTCTCTTAGGGACGATTCCTTCATGGGTAGTTATTATATGGTTAATTGTGGAAGAGCCATGCAGCTTCTCCTCGACGCTTTATATTACCGTGTAAGTGAAGTTACCGGATGTCTCAATTCTTGAATCTTATTTGGAGTTGCGGGTTTGCCTGGATTTCTCCGATTAAGTCCTTATCATCGGGTGATCAGTCTGCTCGTTTGCTATTTGCTATCCTATAAAAAGGTACAATAATGTAAACAACCGGCAGCCAGTGATTAGCTCATGGCATAATATCACTAACTAAACCCAGCTAATCAACCACTAGCTTTACAACACACCACATTTTTGCTTTACGGCTAATTTTTCAATGGTTAGTTAAAAGGTAACTGGGGAATAATAAAATTACGATGCTGTCGCGTCAGAATGTTTGTACTTATTTATTCCTGAGATAGCATTTTTCTGACTATTGAAAAATCAGCCCTTTAGTAAACTACAAGTACATAGGTACACAAATAGTTTTTCTCATTCGATTTTTAAATACATAGGTACGTATTAACTTCTAATTCTTGGTGTTGGTACCCTAACACGAATACCGTATCACGCCATTAGGTAATCGTCGTAAGAGTCGGCAGAGGGCACATATAAAACACATGACTTGACATGACGAGAAAGAATCATGTGTTTGTGAAATAAATAAAAGTAGGAATTGTGTTTAAAATTAAGACTTCCAATCCAATAATATAATCGAATTAAAAACTTTAGAATTTCATAGAAATCGTTGGGGCCGTATCCGATCCTGTAAATATGGGTAGGTGCCTATAATAGGTACTCATATTTACATACATAATTATATACTAGTGTTGCTCGCTTGAATGTATTAGATTTCATCAAATAACTTCGATAAATATAATAATGTATTGTAGATAGGTATAGGTACAAACAGTCAAATATTATTAGTGTTACTGTAGGCAACTCTGGCAAGTACCTAAGTAGGCATCGTCTTACTTTGTTTAAGATAACTAAGTACCTACATACTTATTTAAACAGCCCATGACTAATAAGACTTATATTAATACTTACTCAGAAGTTTTGTGGTTAGCCATCATAACAAAAAATAGTTCCAAGAACTTTTATTTAAAACTGCGTGGGCAAACGATAAAAAAAATGAAATGGTAAAACCAGCCTTATTGCTTTTTAGATAAAGTTCCAAAAAAGATTGCTCTTTACGGATATGGTGCCAACAAAGAACTTTTATCAATCGTTATTAATCGCTCTGTTAAAAAATATGAAGTAGACTCAGCAGTCCCACTCAAAGAGGCTCGATCGAAATTTTTTTTTTTTATTTTCATTTAATATTTAACACTTCAAATTATTTTTGTAAACAATATTTATTAGTTAAGACTTACCGGCAAAGGGACTTCACATAAAAAATCCTAAGCTCAAGTGATGATACGTGATGTGACTTTTACCGTGTTATATCTAAGTACTTATGTAAGTACTTTCTATGATTTAGACACCATAGAAATACGATGAAGAAAAACACCGTTAGCCTACACCTAAACATGGATTTACAAATGCTAATTATAACTTTGAAAACGCCTATCCGCTCGAAGATGCCTTTTTTCACCAAAAGGCATTTATAAGTAGCCTTATAGGCTGATGATGGGATGTAACCATTTAAAATATCTAACCTGCAACATTTTTCCTGCTCGCTACAAATACTTAGGTACCTACCTACTTATCTAACTTGCTATCCATTGGCGGCTGACGTAACAAGCGACAAAGCTGGCAATTTATTCCGATCACAAACACTTCGTCAGTTCTCCACAGAAGCTATTGTAAAGCCATTAATTAGCACACAATGTTAAAATAAATTAAATGTGGAAATTATTCGCCATTCATGAAGAAGATATTAATTAAGTCCGTAAATTGAAATCGGATTGAATTCTCGCTTGTGTGACAAAATCTTCGTTGTAGGTACCTACTTAAGTCATAAGTAGGTAGGTAGATACCTGTGCGGTCGATGGTCCTTTACGGGGCGCCTGTTTGGTCAGCTCGACTGTCAGGCGTTCGACGCTGTAGAGCGAAAATTTATCGTTTACAGCGGAAAATGGCCATCCGTATCGCACGGGGATACCGAACGGTATCCTTTGAGGCGGCAACTCTCCTGGCTCGCTTTCCGCCATTGGATATCCTGGCGGACATGGACGCGAAAGTCTACGACCAAATTCGCACTGTCCGCCGAAATGGCGGTAGAATGCCAGGAGTGGCGTTCGTTAGGCTGAGGCGGCAAGAGAGGCGACACGCGCTCGAGCGGTGGCGTGAGCGGCTAGAACAGCCGGAGCTCTCACGCAAGCGCGTTGTTGAAGCCATTCTGCCGCACTTCGAAGCCTGGCTGAAAAGAGAGGAGCGCGTCTCCTTCAGGCTTACTCAGGTGCTAACCGGACATGGATGCTTCGGGGAGTATCTGAACAGGATTGGGCGAGAGGCCACGGCAAATTGCCACCACTGCGGAGGTGACCTGGATTCCGCACAGCACACGCTCGAGGAGTGCCCAGCGTGGGCTTCTGAGCGGCGGGTCCTAGTCGCCAAGATCGGGCGAGACTTGTCTCTGCCAGCAGTAGTTAGGGCTATGCTGGCAGATGCAGAAAATTGGAGGGAAGTGGCTTCGTTTTGCGAGACTGTTATGTCCCAAAAGGAGGCTGCTGAGCGGGATCGTGAGAGGGCCGATCCTGCTCGTAGAAGGCGTCGAGGAGGCAACCGCCTTGACGCCTAATACGCCGAATCCCGCCTGCATGAAATTCAGGCGGACCTTTGGGGTCACGGGTGCATAGAGGGGGGACTCTAGGTGCTCATTCAGTGGTCCCAGGGAAGACGGTGGTACAGTGGTCACGTACCGCCGTACACAGCGAGGCTCGTACTCGAGGGATGTGCCGTCACAGGCGTTTCATCGTGGGGGCTCCGGAGCAGGTCTCTTGTAGAGGACCCGGGGCCCCTGACAGGTGATGAGGGTGGCCACCGGGGTGGTTTTAGTGAGGTAAAAATCCCACACTCCCTAGTCTTTCTCCCCAAAAAGCTAGGCGCCTTTTGAAGGTTTCCCCCCGTAATCAAAAAAAAAAAAAGGTAGGTAGATACCTAGTGGATTGTGTTACAGTGGGGAAAATCCATGATTTCATTCCATTTCCTGTTTGTATTGAAACTGGACTAAGAATAATTAGGTACCTAATTGTTTAATTAGGCATTCATTACTCTGTTTTATTATATTAACAACATAACAACACATCATATGATCAGCTTTTAAGTGGCTACTGCTGACCAAAGGCCTCATATCACACGGAGAAGGTTTGAGCATTAATCACCACCGCTCGAGGCGGATTTGAGATTTCAAACTTACCTACTTAGGTATAATTAGAAATTTGAGTCCAGGTTACCTCACGATGTTGACCTTCAAAGGAGGTACCTTAGTGGTATCTAAATAGTCATAGGAAGTACTTGGACATAATCAGAAAAAGTCACATTGGTTTCTGGCCAGGTTTCCAATCCCCACCCTTAAGTATGAAAAGCAGGCGCGAAAACCTCCGGACCACCTGCCACTGACTATCATTTATAAGCTACTAGTAGGTACCTATATATAATATACAGGTTCCCGGTAAAGAATGGATAACTTTGCAATGCCTTAAAGTATAATATGTTATTGCAATTCAGAAAAAGTACAGTACCTACCTACAAAAAAAAAATATAAAAAAGTTGCAAATCAATTTATTTTAGAAAAAAGTGTAGGTATCCTACCTAGATATCGTGTGACAAAGTGTGTATTTTTGACAATTTAATTTAGAATCATCTTCTATTCCCTCTAGCAGTAGTTCTTCTACCT